CCTCAGCCGAGGGTTTAGGAAGCTCCTGCAACAGGCACCGGTGAGCGACTGCAGCCAGACAGGCCCTGCACAGCCCGGGTCATCCCCACAGGACAGCCAGGTCCACTGAGCACCACCACGAGCTCTGCACAGAGCTTTAAGACGAGGTCTGCCAGCTTTGCACAACTCCACGTCAGCCGCAAGGGTGCTGAATAAGCCGGTCTCTCACATTGCTCGGGCTGAGGCCACGCTGGTCTCCACACCAAGCGGCGCCTACACGGCGGCTTTGCTTCCCTAGCAGCACCAGGGAGGGATCACCAACTTCTGCAGGCCCCTCCCTACCACGTGTAAGCTCCTTAATGCTGAAAGGGGCTTCTTATATTTATCCTGGATTGGCATTTAGTTTGACCTCAGGAAGACAACTGAAGAGCTTGAGGGACCACAAATAGATTAAAGCGTAAGTATTTCCCCCGCAGGGTTAAGTCTACTCCAAGCCCTCCCCACCAAAGGGGTTTAAGTTGTAATACAGAGCTTTCATCTGTTACAACTACRCTACAGGTGGATCTCCAGGCTCTTCAAGTTAAAAAAGGCAGTAGGAAAGACTACACACACACACACCGAGTCTACAGCCTAACTGCAACACATACGTTGAATTCTTCACGTGGGGTTTGACTTGGAGCAGTGGCAAGAGACAGGAGATGCCTCCAGCTCATAACTGGGTTCCCCCCTTCCTTGTGCTCTATGGGGTTACCTGCTCAGAGCTTAGGGTCACCAAAAGCAGGAGCTCTCCTGCATAGCCTTGTCTGTCACCCTAAGAGAGGGAAGGCCTGAGCTCAGGTGGGAGCACAGAGCTACTCACTCATCTGTGGATCACGGCTGTCCTAGGGTTCCTGCTCTTGCTGAGTGCCAGCCTTTTAAACAGAAGATGCTCGTTAGCACCATCATTAGCATCATGCCCAACAACTGCAGCAGCAGCCCATGCTCTTTACTGCTGCAGAGGCTGAAGGAAGCTCCTGCAATCGTCACATTAAGGCCCCAGTCACCTACCCAGAGGTCCCAACTCAGATGCCTGACACCTGCCAGGAGATTTAACTGACCAGGTCCAACCCCAGTCCCCCAGGGTGCACAAGTGGCTGTGTCAGCAGCCAAGACTTCCTTGTGAAACTAGCCTCAGTGTCCTGCTCTGTCACCAACAAGCAAAGCTGCATTTGATGGCCCTGTAACACACCCTGGACAGCACAGCCTTGTTCCACAAGGAGTGTTTCCCACAGGAGCCGTTTCCTCTTCCTATGCAAGTCCATTGCTCCTCCACATAGGTGGTCAATGACAACCTGGCATCATCTCCAAGCAAGATATCTTCCCATAGCTGCTGTACACTAAGCAGAACCTTCTCCAAACATTCACAGAAGGACCACCACAGAACCGAGACTGACTTGCAGAGGACTAGCCAGTCAGTTCATCCATCCATTGCCAGGTAGATGCCTCAGTCTCTCAAGAGAAGTGTTTTACAAGCCAGTCTAGAAGACTGTTTACACGAACACCATCAAGCTCAAGTTCTGACCTTCGGATACTGCAGGCTACAATCAGTAGGTGAACCCTAAGCCTGAAGCTAATAGCCAACCTATCCAGCATCTTTACAGGAAGAARGGCTCCCATGAGTGCAGATTACTTCCCCCATCAACAAGGTTCACTTGCATGAGTAAGCTGGAGCCTGGGAAACGCTTCCRCTCCAACTTATAAATGGAATAARAAGCACAGTTTGGATTTCTACACAGCAACCAAAAACAACTCCTTATTAACTGAAAATAGTTCAATAGGGAGACACAGGAAAGTATTTTGATAGGTTTATTGCTCCCTTATGCTTCCAGGACACCAAGGTTAATTGTAGCATCGAGTACTATTGTTTGGGTGTTTCTGTCCCTCAAAACAGCTCAGTACAACTAACTCCAAACACATTCCTAACCTCACTACTGACCCAAATTCAGCAATTTCCCTATGCAACTGCCCAGCAGCAGGCAGTATATCTTCCCAGCACTGCTTCACTAGCCATGTTTCAGGCAGTGTTGTATTTAGACGTGATSCTAGATGCAAACCACCTGCTTTGGAATCGCGGCAGCACTAGCGCATGGCCAGGTCCGCCTCCAAAGCCCAGCTCCAAGGCCCTCAAACACCCCAGGGATTAAGCAGTGCTGGGAGTTGTCTGGTAGCCATCACCTCACAGCCSCAGGACAGCCCTGTGCTGCCTCGGCCGCAGGTGAGACCTGGTGTGAAGGGCTCGAGGCAATTGCTGCAGCAGCCCTCGAGACGAAACCAAAGAGACAAAACCTCGAGACGAAACCAAAGCCAACCAAAGCAGGGCCTTCTGTCTCCAGAGGTCCTGCTGCTTCTACACACAGCAAGTGTGATTGAAACAGGCAAGCCAGAAAGTCAGCAGCATTAGGGCATGCAGGAAGCCCCTACAGCTGAAGAGCTGATCCACAAGATGCCCAGGCAAGGGTTTGCAGCTGCCACCCATTCAATTCAGGTGCCTAAGCTGACTCTCTCCCAGCAACCGTGAGCAAAGCTCACTTGCCTGCACAGGTGATGAGTGAGGCTCTCATTTTATCCCCCACGTGTTTTGGGACCAGTCCAGCTGGCCAGCTTGTTTCTAGCAATGGCAACAATGTTTGCTGACCCTATAATTGAAGGAAGGGGCAGAGCAAGAGCAATCCAGGGCGCACAGGCAAAAGGACACGGGGCTCTGGGCAGGTACATTCACCTTCCCAGCACTGGAGGCACAGGAGCCTTCAGTGACACAAAACAAGGAGGACCCAACTCTTGTGCTTGATTTGCACCAGAAGAGAAGGCTTYGTGCCCCAGCCAAGCCAGCGGCACGTGGGAAGCGTGTGCTTGCAGCACCGATGCCAAAGCTGCAAGCCCGTGTTTGCAGGATGGTCTTAATGTGCTGAAGCTGTACATGCAGATGAAGAAGCCTCTGGCACACATTATTATTGAAGAGGGTTTTGCATTCGTAATACACACAGATCAGCCTTCCTGCCCACTATCAGGCTAATCCTGGCCCCAGGAGGGGCTGGCCATAAGGGAACCTGCTGGAAGCACCTACACCAGGAGATGTCGGATCACACAGGTCAGGGATGAGGGCTGCTGACCTGCCCACACAGCAGCCTACAAGACACATCCACAGCAACCCCGCCACGGCACCGACCCTCCGAGCCCAGACAYGGCACCTGGCAAGAGGTCACGTTTGCCTTTCGTGATCGGGGTGGTGCAGACGCCACTGAAATCCAGAGAGTTGTCCAGCATGGCATTTATTCTGCGGAATATGTCTGCATTGCTGCAAGTGGAAAGGGCAGGGGCATCGGGGCTGTCCCAGCAGTCCTTCAGGCTCCTCCCAGGATCTTCCTTCTGCTAAGAAARAGAAGAAATTAATGTCATGCAAGCGAGGACACACCAGCCAGCTTCCAGCACACTGTGGGAAAACTCTGGATCGCCTCCAATATTCATATTAGCAGTAGCTCCAGGTCCCAGCAACACTCAGGTCCCYGTCTTTGCACTGCAGAAACACTTCAGCAAACGGGGCCGCAATGGCTCAGCACAGCACATCAGCCCAGGGCCGTTCAGGTTGGTGTAGGCTCCCCACGGCTTGAATGAACCCGAGCCTAAAAGCCACAGCTCCCAAACTGCGTTGGTGGCTACCAAAGGAGAGATCCGGGTAACAGATGCTCCTCTCCTGAAGGGTGAATATGAAAGAAAACCTGTGTCCCAGGCTGAGGGGACAAGACAGTGACCACCAGGGCAGAGTTTCCCGCYGTGCACACCAGCAAAGCAACCACCCGAGCACGGGAGCTCTGCACACCCTGGAAGGGCCCGAGCGAGCAGCCCTTCCATCACTTCCAAAGGCAGCCTTGCGGAAAGAGCCACTTCCCAGCTACTCACGCATAGCCCGGCGGCCCTGGGGCTTCCCCCAGCACGGGGAGCTAAGCCRGGGCCTCCCATCCAGCAGCTCCTCGCAGGGAGGAGGCACCACCCGGGCACCCTGGCTCTGCCACGGGCCCAGGGCAGCCCCCGCTCTCCCCGGAGCTCCCTGTGCTCCCGGTGCCAGCCCAGAGCAGCCCTCCAGCTGCTTTCGCACCTCGGGGTCTCCCAGCRCCGCTGCACAACAGCGGCAGAGCCTCTGCCTGAGCTTCACCTCCGAGCAGCACCTGCAGCTCACAGGCAGGTCTCCTCGCCACCCGAAAGACCCCGTGGCTCCTGGATACGCCGAGCAGATGRTGCCACTCGGTCCAGTTTTGCACAAAAGGGCAGGGAGACGCAGCCTCTGGGCCAAAGCCACTGCCATCAAGCAAGCAGAGCTGCAGCTAAGCTGGCAAGCAGGGCCGCAGCTCCTCCAGGACATACATAAGCCTTAGCTTTAGACCAGGGCACTTGTATTGTCACTTCTTGGACGCATTCCTGCGAGAGCTCCGGGCCCCGCTTCCCTGCATTTCTCTTCCTGCTTCATCCTCATCTTGGCTGAGGAGCAGAACATCCCGCAGCTCCAAACTCGCCTGGTGCTTCCAGGCAGGGCTGGAGGGGATGGTGGTCCGACTGCTTCAGACCATTAGCATCCRCTGAGCACCAGTGCAGGGGTGTTGATCTGTTGAGAGGCTCAGCCCACCCTGGGCGAGGGGCCCTGAGCTCAGCCTACACTCGGCTTGAGGCTTCTCCTGTCTTTTGTTAGCARGTCTGGCTCAAAGCACGCCCCAGGCAGGCATAAACAGGCAGAGCAGGCTTTGGGTCAGCCTTATAAGAGGCAGCCGAGGAGCACAGGAGCCCAATTTAAGAAAGTATTGCCAGTCATCTTTAATAAAAATAAGTGCCGCATCAGGGCGATTTGGCACAGGGGTGAAACTCCATATCCCGCTCGCGTTACTGCTGAAGAACCTCTTGCAGCAGGAGGCAAAGCCTTTTTTCCTAYGAGTCTGTGCTAGCGAGACAAAAATAAACTCGAGTGGCAAACCAACCGCCTGACCCATTCCTGCTCATTTAGCATCTGACGCTTCCCACAGCTGGCAGCGCCAGCCCTGCTACAAACACAGGCAGAAAACAGCAAGAGCGCGGCTAATATTTTCTCAAAAAATAACCCCAAACTCCTTTTACTTGAAATTTTAACCTTAAGATTGTGAGGGATGCTCCGGAGGTGCCAGCCCTGGTCCAGGGTGGCTGCGGGATCCAGCACCTTGTGCAGGGAAGCGGGAGCCGAAGCACCACCCGAGCAGCTGCCGGGCCGCTCCGGAGCCTGCTTCCCGGCGAGCCCCGGGACGGCGGCGGGCGGCAGCTCCCGGGGCACGGGGCAGCGCGAGGAACACGGGAGCTCCCCGAGCGCGGTCAGGCCCCGGGATGGGCCGGGACACGGCGGCGCGGCTCCCCCGAGCCCCCTTTACCGGGGAACCCCCCTCCCTTGCTGCTGCTCCCGCCGCTC